TATCCAGGAAATCGTAATAGAAAGATACAAGTGGAATTTGGTGCAGCGCTGCAAAAATTAAAATTCAAATTTCAGGAATGAATGGTATCATGAAAATGAAGTGCTATTTTTTTGTTTACTAAGACAAAGTACACTACTCTTACCAAAATAAAGTGGAAACGGCAAGAAAAATGTACTACAAACTACGTGAGTAAAATCATAATTTCCTTTTAAAAAATTAATAAATAAAATTAATAAAGATAAAAAAATTATATGATGGGAATTTAGTGGTGATTCTGGAAGCCACCGGCCGGCACGCCTATTTACTCTTATTGTCAGCGGTGGCGTTGGCCTGCGCGGCGGCACCGCGGAAAGCTCGCTCCAGGTGGTTGTGTTGCTTCGCCAGCTGCTCCAGAGTCTCCTCCAGTCGCACCCGCTGCTCCCGCTCCGCCTGCAGCGCCTTCTGCCAACGCTTGCTATGCGCCTGCGCCAGTGCCAGGAAGTCTCGGCATGCCTTCAAGGTTCCACCGGAACAAAAGTGCCATGATGCCAAAGGAACTTGTCAGTTTCAAATATTAAGTCTTGATTTTACACAATAAAAAGTCATGCTATGGGAAAAGGTGTTGAAAATGTTTGAACAATATCGTCAGACTATTAGCAGAATTGTGTTGTAATTACAAGAAAAAAAGTTAAAATATTACTAAAGTAAGTCACAGAGAATTTTTTTAATAGGTCACATAAATGTAAAGTCTTCGTAACACAAGAATGCACTCCTAAGACTTTTACATAACTAAAAATGACAAGAAAAACACCATATAGTAGGAGCAACATTGTGAATCTAATACGTCACGATTGCAACTGTCTTGCAAAATTTCATTACAAAAATAAAGCTGTCATTTTTTCATGTTTGATTGAACTTAACGTGAAGGCGGCGAGTGGAGAATAATACGTTTTTTGTTTTTGCAATGGAGCAGCAAAAGAAAATCAAGTGTGAACTGACATTGATCATAGCGTTGGAGGTGATGCGGAACAGCGTCGCCCTCTCTGTCACCTGCCGAATTTTATCTCCCGCCTCTCCCGTCAGACGCAAATTGTCCAGCTCCGACAAAGACCTGTGCCACAGTTGAGGAGTCGTGTATCATACCTTGCCACTGTTTTCATTGGCAGTCAACATTTTGTTTTAAAGCCTTAAATGACCAATCACTTGTTTAGCAATTTGACAAAAAAATGGGGGTGGGGGGTGGGTTATCTCAACATATGGTAAATGTTAGTTTTGTTAGCATGTGATAACTGGCGTCTTGCTTCGTATGTTAGCATTACGCTCGCTGATTTTCCTAAATTGGGTTAATGACATTTTTTTTTCATGTTCAATTTGAAATGGGAGTGGCAAGCTTGAATCAAATGTTGACAAATCTGTCCTTTTTATGTCGTATTTAAAAAAAATAAACAGTCGCTTTCAATTTTTTTTTTCATGTTGAACTGCCAACTGAAGATGAAGAAAGAAAGGATCTATGGATTGTATCGATGAAGATGGACTGACCTCTGGAGAGCCGAGCCGTGTTTGGAGATGAGATCGTTGCACGTGCTCAGATCCTCCACCTTGCTGCCCAGTGTCCGCAGCGCCGACTGGACTTCGGAATTCTGCGAGCCGCCACCGCCGCCTTGTCCGGAAGGTGCAGTCGGGGGCAACTGAGAGAAGTCATCACCCGAGTCATCTGTTCACAATGAGAGCAAGAAAACTATCGATTCCATTTCCTTGTCCCTGACCGTTGGCAACTGAGAAGCTTTTGCATTATCTCAAGTGTTTTTGCTGCTTTGTTTGCTTTACCCGACTCAGTCTGAAGGCGTGCCGCTTTGGCCTTGGCCAGCTCCAACGCGGTGATCCAGCGCTGTCGCTCGACCTCACAACTGGCCTTCAGGTGATACGTCTGCGCGCCGCCGTTAGAGATGACAAAGTTGCACGCGTCGTCCACGGTGATGGTCGCCGTCGCCAGGTTAATAGTGCCACGGCACGTGTGGCCCATTTCCGCCTGGGTCCTGAAAATTCCAGAGGGAAAAAAAAAAATACTAAAAAAAGATCATAATGTGTTTTGAAAAAGGCACATAATAAATATAATATTAAAATTGTAAATAATTATGTGGCCTTCAAAGTCATGAAAAGAATTTATGAATTTAATAAAATACAACTAGTTCAAGTTGCACCTTATGCCCAAAGTCAGCTGGGATAGGCTCCAGCACGCGCGAATCCCTCGTGAGAATAAAGCAGTTCACATAATGGATAGGTGGATTATGACAAATAATACTCCTACAATTAAGAAAAAAAATATATGTGCCACCTGTGTTATGAAAGTCAACAGGGATTTAAAAAAATAATCAACATCAGACATTACAAAAATAATAGGATGACAAACTATAAATATGGAAAAATATCACAAAAAATGTTCATACATTTTTTTAAGGTTTAACATTAATGTATTAGCAATATAGGATATATGTTCAAAATGTAGTCATTTAAGTTACAAATATAATATAGTACACATATAAATCACAATTAAAATAAAATAAATTGAGCACATGAAATCATTCTACAACAAATCAACAAAAGATAGGGCTGCAACCAATAGATTTATTAAAAAATAGGACATTATTACACACACATGCACACACAAAGTGACTACGAGTCAGTTACTGGTTTGGTCAGGAGCACGCATGACAAAATTTGCGAAAGTGTTGATCATTGTTTTCTGAAGCAAAAGCAGATGTTTGCAATTGTCAGAGTTAGAAAAAAAACTCAAAGAAAAATGGTATGCATTACTTAACTACAGGCATTGGAGAATATGTACTGCTGGAAGCCTGACTTTCAGAGGATTTTGACAATGTGAATGATTCATCGCTTATCAAAACAGTTGTTAATTTGCTGATCAATTACATCAAGGCTAGGTGATTCATTGTTGCACTTCTCATTCAAATACAAATTCAACTGCTGGCTTCTGCTTTGTTATTTAGCAATGTCATACCTGTAGTAGGACAACAAGCCATTACTCAAGACGAACCAGCGCCTCTGATAACCCTTGATGTAATTAGTCCACTTGAACACCCATCCCTTGTATGCGTCTCCAGCTGGGATTGGAGTGGCTGTCTTGGGCTCGGACATCACAATCCCCAGAACCCAGACACCGATGCACAGAACCTAAAAGACACAGACACCAGGAGGGCAGGGGAGGGGGGAAATAAAAAGTTTCAGACGCTCCGGTTTAATGAGTTAGGGCACTGTTTCTACTCTCACGTTTGTGTGGCCTGACAGGTCAAAGTTCAACGAGTTGCAGTGCAAATAAAACAATTTATTGTTCCGTCCATGTTCTGCTGTGCAACAAAAACACAAAAGAAACGACATGTTTACCTTGACTTGTCCCTTAGTTGACAGCTCAGGCAAGCGAGTATCCAATGAAGTCACTGCTAATGTTGACACCTAGACCAGTAGCAAGGAAAGATGGCTTCTTAGCTCACGGAGGCTAACTGACCAGCAAGCTAGCGTCGACAATGGGGGACAAAACGCGGAAAGAGGCAACTGGCGTGGTTATAGATTAAAATGCCACCGTCGAGTGGATGAAACATTTCTTACTAAGCGCGTGAAGAGTGTCAGTTGCACAGATGCGTACAACACTAGCTAGCTACTTCTAACTAGCCTATAGTGCTAGGTGGGTCCACCCGGTGCCACTATAATTGCGCTCCGTGTAGAAACAACTCCGCAGAGCATGCGCACAGTCGCATGTAAAGTATCGACGTGGACTTTTTTGACCAATGTTTTTTCTGCTTCGGCCAGAGAAGAAAATCGATACATACCCTCAACAGATCAGTGAAACAAATGCTGACGTATAACCAACTATGGCTAAAAGAGCGACTCCGGTGGGACTCGAACCCACAACCTTTGAATTACTACATTCCATATCTAGAAGTCCAATGCGCTGTCCATTGCGCCACGGAGCCACCTGTTGGTGACAAAGATTTTAAAGTACATATCAGCATACAGAGTGCAGCAGCGCTCTTGTACCATGTTTATATAATTGGGGCAATTTACGTCATTGACGTTAACTCCATCCTGCGCTGACAACCCTGTGTCGTTGATTTTTTTAAATTCTAATTTTGTTTGCATTACATATACAATCTTAGATTGCTAGTATCACTGATACAAATATTATAGATGCATATACAAATAAGTAATATATTTGTATTTCGAATTATTCAATGATGTAACTATGGGTAATCACCGAAATAAATAAAATTTTAAAATCGGACCGGCAAATCAATGCTGTCATTAAATCCAGCTTCTTTCATCTTGAGTAGCTGGCTAAAGTAAATGCCTTCCTTACTCAGCAGCACTAAGACACAGTAATCCATTCCTTCGTTACACCTCGGATGGATTACTGTACTGTAATGCACTTATTTTGGAGTCAGGCAGTCCTCCCTCAAGCGTCTCCAGTTAGTCCAAAATGCTGCTCGCCTCCAAACTGGAGCTCGTATGAAGGAATAATTGTGTATTTTAGGTTTAGTTATCATACATTTGCATATTATCTTTAATTTAGTGTTTTAATTTACTGTTTTCACTTTATTTTGTTGTTGTACTATTGTGATTTCATGTTAGATGTAAAGTGCTTTGTTACATTTGCAGCTGTTGTGAAATACGCTACATCAAATTGTATTGTATATAACGCATAATCACCGACCTCCAGTGGCTTCACTTCTTCGTAGCGCAAAATATACTTTGAGGTGCTTTGTGGGACATGTAGTTTAAATAAAACAAGATAGCAAGGTTTCAAACCCGTAAAATGGCTCAGTATGTACCATAGAGGCTACAAAACACATTTGCACTAGCACCAAATGTTACAAGAGCTCCTCATATGTACATATGTCTTAATTGTTATTTTAATTAGATTTAATATCGTACATTAAACGTGCAATTATGATCGTGTTGAAGAGCTTGCCGTCTGAGGCACAAATATGATTGGCTCGAACGAGTCACCTGACTAAAGCTAGTTTGGCCTCCCCACTATAGCTCGTGCCTGCCTCTTGTTCGATGCGCATTCCGGATCATCATCATCATCATCATCATATCATCAGTCATCATCAATCATCATCGTAATCCTACTCCTCTGTCTCCAGCTGCGCCGTTTTCCACTCACAGCACAACGGCGACGTTCTCTATCATGTCAGCGAACATGCGTAATTGCCGCTCCCAAGAACTGGCAAGATTTTTGCGAAAATGCATGCCAGTGTTTCGTGTTTTGTAGGTCGTGAACGCCACTTCGGGACTCGGCAGTGGATTAAGTTACGGTTGGATTATTGGCCTGCTCTTTCTTGTTTCGCAGTTTCACGCTAAGTCGCCGAAAAGAAGCCAGGTAGGCAATGAAATACAACATTATTCGGTTTTTATGACTGCTTTTTATTACACGCATGCGCACTTGTTTTCGCCCAGCAGACAATTGGAATGGGGAACCCCGTTATTCCTTGCACCAGAAAAGGAGAAACAAAAGCGCTGTTGCACAGGCCCAGTACATACTGTGGGCCCTGTTTAAATAGGAAGAGAGCAGTACCTCTGTGGACCTTTTGTCCGTCCTACCAGTGAGCATGACTGTTATTATTTCAACGGGGGTTCAGTGACCAGACAAACAACTCCCACACACCCACTTCCATTGCACGTTACACGACAAGTGGACATTTAAAACAATGAAAAAATAAACGTAAATATGAAGGCTGTAATTACCAGGATTTGCAGCACCCAATGTAGTATATGTCGCATACAGTGAGACGAGATGAAATCGTCTCTTGGAGGCTGTTTATATTTCTTGACTCCTAACCTCTAATATACATCTGGTCATCTTTGCAGTGAAGTAAACACAGCTGGTCAGTCGTCACTATATGCGGAAATAAAAATGATTTCACAATAAATACTGTCAGATCCTGCTAAAATTCTCCCAAGAGCACAGGTACCAAGTTCAGGCGTGGGGGCCAGATCAGGCCCGCAAGATCATTTTATGTGGCCCGAGAAAGCAAATCTTTTGCTTCGACTTCTATGATTCTGGCTAAAATCTCCCTAAATTTAGATCTTTCATATTTAATAAATAAAAATCTGCTGATATTTGCAGCATTTTTTTAAATTTTTTTTTTTTTTTTTTACCAAACCCGTTCACCATAACTTGAACAACTACTGTGCATTTTTTACTTCTGATTTGAAAACATATCCATTTGTTGTGTATAATGACAGTTAAACATCTGTATGGTTTCGCAGTCCTAACGGCCCTCTTAGAGAAACTAACGTGGCCCGTGATAAAAATAAGTTTGACACAAGTTGTGCGCTGATAAATTCCTGATTTTGGCTCTTCTTTGCAGCCAAGTAAATAAACATCATCGGTCACTATATAAAGCAAACCTTGAGACCAGGAAGCTTCTATTCTGGACAGGCAAAATGTCTTTCCGGCGAGGTGTGGTGCGGCAGAGCAAGTTCCGCCACGTCTTCGCGCAGGCGTGGAAAGCCGAGCACTGCCTGGACGACGTGCGAGTGTCGCGGGTGACGTGGGACGGCCCGCTGAGCGCCGTCAACCCCAAGTTCATGGCCGTCATCATCGAAGCGGGAGGCGGCGGGGCTTTCCTTGTGGTCCCCATCGGCAAGGTTTCCGCACGTCTCCTCCACATTTGCGTGTTTTACGGCGTTCTTTGACAGCACTGTCCCTGAAAACAGAGCGGCAGGATCGACCAGTCATGCCCGACGGTTTGTGGCCACGTCGCGCCAGTATTAGATATTCAGTGGTCTCCTCATGACGACAATATCATAGCGAGCGCTTCGGAGGACTGCACCGTAAAGGTCCGTCTTCCTCATCCACGTTCTTCTTGTAATTTGTCTTTAGCTGCTGCGCTGCCACGCGGTTGTCGCTTCTGGTCTGTGCAGGTTTGGCAGATCCCCGACGGGGGCTTGACGGCACCAATGACCGAAGCTGTGGTCACTTTGGAGGGGCACAGTAAAAGGGTGGGCATCTTGGCCTGGCACCCGACTGCTTTCAACATCCTCTTAACTGCAGGTAACAAAAACACCCTGTGAAGATTCTCATAACAGGCAACGTGAGACCGTGCAAAAAGGCCCCCGACAGGCTATGAGTTCATACATGGCTTGGTAGCCCTAATAGACACGTCGTTTAAATTTAGTTTAATTAATTTCTGAGTAGGTTTGCAGATACCGTGAGACCATGCAAAAATGAGTTACTGAAGTCCTTACCTCTAACAAACAGCCGGTTATCTCTCTAGCTGAGTAAATAAAGGCCGCTGTTGAGGACATTTGCTATCATGGCCGAAACCAGGCTTTGAGTTCACAAAGCCACGTGTGCTTCTCCCCGAGGCTGCGACAATGTCATTGTGGTGTGGAACGTCGGCACGGGGGAACTGCTGTACCAACTGGCCGACGCCCACCCGGACCTGATCTACAGTGTTAGCTGGAACAAGAACGGAAATGCCATCTGTACCGTGTGCAAGGACAAGGCGCTGCGCATCATTGACCCGCGGAGGGGCGTTGTCCTCAAGGTAGCCCACAATGCTCATCTGAGAGCCTTCAATTCTGACATGAAACTGACGGCCGTGTTTACTTCCAGGTGAGAGAAAAAGTCCATGACGGCACCAGACCCATGCGAGCCGTGTTCCTCTCCGACGGCAAGATCTTGACCACAGGCTTCAGCCGGATGAGTGACAGACAAGTGGCGCTATGGGATACGGTACAAGCACAAGCCTAGTTTTCTTCAAACAGTCACATGCAAAGAAGAAATACAACAAAATCACAGATTTCCCTCCCAAGTGTGTATAAGACTTTCAAGTTAAGTCGCGACTTTTTATAATTTTTTTTTTTTTAATTTGTCACTTCCTTGCCAGAAATTTTAAGCGAAGCAGCCATTGTTCTCATACCTGTCAAAGTATATACTCTACAGTGTATATTAGTGCCAGACAATTAATTGAAATGTAATTGTGATTTCCATTTTGGCTTCTCATGGTCATACAGATATTATAATCAAAGGAAATGTGCTGAAGGGTGAGGTGTGTTTGCAAGTCCCCACGTTGTGAAAGCACACCGAATGCACTGTGTTGCTTGCACAGCAAGCGTGTCATGTGTATGTGATTCTGGAGTACCTGAGCATGCTGTAAGCCTTTTAATGACACCACAGTTGGACTTGAGTGTAAAACTAAACACAGAACACAAAAAAAGCCCCAAATTCTACATTGAAACACAACAAATGCCTCATTTTAGAAAGATCATCAGTGCTAATGCTACAGTCAATGTAAAATCCTACTCACATGCTAACAGGAAATTAGCATCAACTGACAGAGCATTCTTTCAAATAACCAATAGGCACCACTGAAAAGGATAGATTCTTCCTATCTGTGAAAAACGAGACCAATTATTATTTATACCGTGTACCGTAGATTATATTTCACAAAACACTTGACCTCCATCTTAGCCCAACAGTTTTCTTATTACTGAATGCATGCCCTTGAAATTTCAAGCCCCAATTCTTCGTGTTCCAGAAAGATCTCTCAGAGCCAATGGCAGTGCAGGAAATGGATACAAGCAATGGCGTTCTTATCCCCTTTTATGACCCAGACACCAACATGGTGTACCTGTTGGGCAAGGTGAGGACGTACGGTCGCGTGTTAGCATTCGGCCAGTCCGCCGTTAACGTGCTTGTCATCTCACTTTTAGGGAGACTGCACCATTCGCTACTTTGAGGTGACAGACGAATCTCCCTATGTCCACTTCCTGAGTCTATACAGCAACAAGGAGCCCCAGAGAGGGGCGGGCTTCCTCAGTAAACGAGGGGTGGACGTCAACAAATGTGAAATTGCCAGGTAGGAATTCTGCACGCCCGAACTTGGTCATCAGGATGATGACAAAGCCCAAAAAAGTGATTTCTCTTTGGTCATAGGTTCTACAAATTGCATGAAAGGAAAGTGGAGCCCATTTCAATGACCGTACCAAGAAAGGTAAAACATAATCGTCCGCCGGTCACTAAATGCTGCTGGCAAAAATGAGTAAAGATGTACTTTGGCCTTATTTTCGTGCTCAGCACAAGTCGAGCTCAGAGTGCTGTCAAACTGTGCACATGGGTGGAGTTTTCTTTCTTTTGTTTTGTTTTTTGTAGACAGGCGCAGTTAGAAAGTGGCGTTTGTGCTTTTGTGGGAGAGAACACAGCCAACTTACTTCCTGCCCAATGAAAGTGGCTCCACTCTGTCAGCGCACAATCTGTGCCTGCACTTCGATCAAATCTACCAAATATCGTATTACACCACCTGGGCCACAACTTAGACCTGCTTTTAGGTGGTCTAAGGTCTAGTCTTCTTTCTGTCACCAAATTGTCAGGTGCGCTGAGGGGGATGTACCGTATTTTCACCATCATACGCACTGAATTAAAAGGCACATTGTGAGTTATGGTTACGGGTGCTATTTTTGTATTTAACGCATACACAAGAGGCATTGTATTATTGGACGCAGGCATGGTAAAACGTATACTACCTTAAACAATACGGTAGCATGCATACACTCGAGCGTATGTTTTTAGAAAGGCAGTGGAGTTCGGTTGTACTTTATTGAAGTAACATTATATTTCAATCCCATCCTTCCCACTTTAATGTCCTCATGCTGTCTTAATTTATGTCCGTCTTTGTTCTATATAAGCAACATTTTAGCACAACATCAGTCTGTTGAGTGGGCCCGTCATCGAAGTCACACAACAGCATACACAGATTTTGGAATTTGGTGCATACACAAGTCGAACCGCATTATTAGGTGCCCCGTCCATTTTGGAGAAAATGTAAGACTTTTATGTGCGTCCTATGGTCGTGAAAATACGGTAAAAGAAAATTACCTTTGTCTGACGGAATGCCAGCATGGCGCAGGATGGTCTGCCAAATTACCAGACAGACTAAACGTAGACACCACGGCACGCAAATGAAGATGCACCATTTCTTACTCTGAGCGCATATGCGCCTGTCTGCGAAAATAGACCCCTATGTGTTGTCAGTCAAGAATTTTGGGACGATTAAGTCACTTATCTATTGCGACTGCGTTTTAGATGATAAAAAAAAACATTTGAACCAGTTTTACGGAAAAACGGCAAAAATAATAGGACCAATATGACAGGCCTCTTCATAGCGCTCACTAGTTTAGTCAAGACAGTGTGTGCATTAAATGTTTTTTTTTTAATTGCCGTATCCGTTGGTGGACACCAAGTCTTTTGTGCTTGTTTGTTCTGGCTTGTGCAGTCTGATCTCTTCCAAGGGGACCTTTACCCGGACACGGCCGGCTTAGAGCCCGCGCTACTGGCCGACGAATGGATTGCCGGCAGGGACGCGCCGCCCTTGCTGGTGTCCCTAAGCGGAGGCTATGCAGCGCCGCCGTCCAAGCACCGCGACACGCTCAGAAGCAAGCCCAAGATGGCCTCGCAGGACTCCGTACCGGCGGCGGCCCCCGTCGCCAAGGAGCCCGAGGACGATCAACCACGTGCGGCCACCAGGGAAACGGGCGGCAACACAGAGAGGCCAAAGCGAGAGGTGCGTCACAACTTGCTACTTTTCTTGTTGGACTTAAGTTTCAAAAAATAAAAGAAAGATTGAGCTCAAAATGCTGGGTAGCCATTTTAGTCCAACAATTCCTCTTTTTCCTCATGTGTGTATGGAGAATATTATAGTTAACTATATAGTTATACTGTAGTCTATCCTTACATCCATTTTCTGATCCGCTTTATCCTCACAAGTGTCGCGGGGCGTGCTGGAGCCTATCCCAGCTGTCTTCGGGCAGTAGGTGGGGGACACCGGAGGTCGACACGCTAACCACTGGACCACCGTGCGTGAATAAAATAAAATGAAAAACTACAATGCATAAAAAGTGAAAATGAACTGAAACTACATCCTATGTTTATAAAACTAAATAAAAGTAATTCTAACTACAGCGAAAAGGGCATAAATGTATTGATTTTGATATTGCTGTATGTTGATACAGAAGAAGGAAGGCAAATAGTTGTTTAAGAATTGTAGTTCACTTCATTGCAACACATTTAGTGACTTTTTTTTATCCTGGCCTTGACAGATACTACAAATTAAAAAAAAAAAAAAAAAAACCAAAAAAATTTAAGCTAATACTAAAACTAATAAAAAATAAATTGCAATAAAACATTTTCAGAGGGGAAAAAAAGAAGAAAAAAACAAACACGCTCTAGAAAGTATTTAAAACTCACAGAATTGAAAAAAAATTAAAGTCAAACTGAAATTAAAACCTAACTATTATGAAAACTTCAAAACTATAATCACCATGGTGTGTGTATGAACTTTTAAGCTAAGCATCTTAAAAGAAAAGAAAAAAAAAAAAAAGATATTGTATCAAGTACTAATGTATGTGAATTCTGCATCTCTCAAAAAAAAAAAAAGATATTGGATCAAGTACTAATGTATGTGAATTCTGCATCTCTCGTCACAACCACGGCAAACGGGAGGTTTATTTTATCTCGGAAAGCACTAATAGACGTCGCGTTTGTTTCCAGGACGACATTCTGAACGAGCTGCTGTCGGAGATGAAGGCACTGCGTGCCGTGGTGCTCGCTCAGAGCCAGCGCATCGAGTTGTTGGAGAGGCAGTTGGCTCGCATCGAGGACGGCGACGTATGAACGAACGCCTTTCGCTCTCCCGTAGAAGAACAACCTCTAGGGCTATTTAATCAGGTAGTTGAACGCTGCTGAACTGTAATCAAATCCAAGACCTCAATTTTACCATGTAGCACGTAACCTCATCTGATACGACACTCTATGATTTGAGGCTCGTGGAAGAAGAAAAATCCGACTGTGAAGACTAGCTGATGAGTTTTGTGATTTTAGATCTTGGTGTCAGATGAACGTGGATTTTCTTGTATGGCTGTTCAAGATTTTTTTTTTTTTTGCTTTTATTTAGATTTTGATTGATTTGTTACTCAGTCTGTTGTACATTCCCAACTTAATGCACTGATCACAACACTTTGGATGTGTTTGTAGCAAATGGAATAAAGTGTCGTTTGTATTCACGCAACTGCTTTCTGGTCTTCTTTTTGGCTTGGAATAAGGGTCAGGTCATCTTGAAATATTTTTTAAGAAAACAAGGGCGGAAAAATCAATATAATATTAAAATAATATGAGTGAAAGAGTGATCAAAAAAATTGAATAAAAAAATTTAGCTGCAGCTTGTAACATGGCAACTTAGTTGTAAAAATAAAAGTCTTCATTCTGTTTTTAAAACTTGCTGCAAAATTACAAGTTAATAATATGACCTAATTGACAAAAAAAATCCCATGAAATTACATTTCTTTTAATAGTTGGAGTTAATTCTTGTAACATTACGACTTGTTAATGAAATGTTCTTATTCTTATGACATTACACTTTCTTGATGATATCACTTTATTTTCTGACAATTTTTCCTTTTTTAAAATCATCGTACGTATTTGATTGAATCTAATTCAAAATCACAACACTTGATCTTCCAAACTGCCGGATCAGTTTTTGATATTAACTTCTATTTCTGAACACTCTTCCTCTTTCTATAAATATTGTATGTGCTGTATTTCGTATTTCTCCGCCTCATCCCTCCTTCAAATCAGCTTGCATTTTCCGCCTCCCCTCATTCTCACATATTCGAAACAAGTCAAGTCCGCTGCGCCTCGTTACATTTCTTTTGTACAGCAAACCACTTGTTCACAACGTGGGGTAAGTACTTTTTTGCCATATTTATGATTTTTTTTTTGTTTTTATTCATAATTTTCAAATTGTGGTTTTTCAACCGATTCACTAAGAACAGTATTTTCGCCACTGGTACCACACGGTTGTTAGTTGTCTTATTACTACTGATAAAAAAAAAAAATTAAAAATTCAAAGATATTTTTGAACTATTAAAATAGGTTCCATGCAATGCAAGGTGTCTGATGGTGCTCGCTTGCCTACAATTGCTGCAGGAAACCAGCAAAACTGCAAGCTGTCTGCCCACTTCCTGTGCATGTGGCCCTATTTTCTCTGTATGTGCATACTGTACGACACCGGAACAATCACGAGACTCATGGTTGGATTTACTCGATTTTAAATGGGGCCCAAAAAATGCATTTAAATGTTTCGATTGTGCCCTGAAACCTGAGGAGCTTAAATTTTGCATTTTCAAACGTGGAAAATTCCTGTAAAATTGCCACTGTACATTATGTCTAGAGCAGGGGCCTCCAACACGGTGCCCACGGACATCATGTTGCCCTTAAGGACCACATGAGTAGCCTGAGTGGCTCTTATAAAGATAGCCTACCAGTGACAGTACATTATTTGTTGTCCATCGCAGAAGTGATTATTTAAAAATATACAGGCTTGCAGAAATGTAAAGAAATTACAGTAAGTGATACATATTGTGTTTCATACCCTATGAAATCACAAAGGGCATGCAGCGAGGATGCTGAAATTGCACATTTCCGCATACGGCGGTTCCGGAGGAAAAAAGGTTCAAGATGACAATTAAGTATATCTTGAAAAGTGCAATTTTGAATGGATTTGCCACTATTGTTGTCGTTGACATTTGTACTCTGGTATAACGCATGAAGTTAATCGCACTGAAATGCACTTTTGAGCTTTTGAGAAATGTCAACTAGCCTCATTTAAAGAGTCCAACATTTGGTAGCTCGCTATGAAACGCATATAGTGTGTCACACACCGTGGAGGATTCATGTTTTGCACAATTTTGCACATTCCTGCACTGAGCTGTTCAGGAGCAGAAGTGCGCTAAAAGTGATAACGAAAGGTAACGATTAGGCTGCTAGGATAAAAAGTGAACTTCCGAGTTCAATTCAGCGTTTTCTTTTTTCTCCCAAGACACACACACACAGATACTGAATTAAAGTTATTTTTCTTTTTTGGTGGGTGATTTGTCTTGACGAAGGTGGTTCAGTATGTCGTCCGACTAATTTTCAGAAATCTTGAAGGTGCGCCCATTGTCCTTCCATCTTTGCTTCAGGTATGGCTGACTCGACCTCAACTATCATCTTGCTCTTTTTCATCTTCGTCGGCCTGTTCCTATTGCTCATCGTCCTCTACAAGAAGTTGAACAGGGAGACTAACGGGGAATACACCTTGCGGCGAGTCATCTACAAGGAAGGAGGGCTCCGGGACCGTGCCAGAAGGGCGGCAGCTATCCTGCAGTCCCATCTGGGAGTGCGATTGTGGCCTCGCCGCAATTCCAATGAGGACGGAGAAGAAATGCAGGATTTTCAAGAGGACCCCAGACAAAAAGAGCAGCGTTGTAGTACAAGTAGCGGCGGGAGCCAGCCCGGTGAAGGTGAAGATGGCAAACCACAGGGGCGGAACCTCAAGGCAAGGAGTGAGAGTGAGTCAGAAGAGGAATCAAGGGAAGCTGATTTGTTTGTCAATTTAAATCAGTTTTCTCGGAGTGTCATGTGGTCTGAGGAGGTTGGCTACCAGACAACGTGAGCCTCAGACAGTCTAGTTTCCGGTTCAATCGTCAATAAACGCCTCACCTCAAATACACGCCTCCTTCACTTGTCTACATGAACTTCAGACATTTTGGGTTGCTCCAGGAGAACTCACTGACCTCTGATATATCTTATTTCCTCAAATTGAGTCATTGGAATTGAATAAATAAACGCCATGCCTTAAATTGACTACTACACAGATTTCAAAAAGAGGTATTCTCTCCTGAAGTCCTCATTTACTCCAGAAATATTGCATTTCCTCAAATCGTGGCCTCTACTCAAATAAATGCCTCGCTTCAACTGCGTCTGCCCTTGAATAAGTGCATGCCACACCTAAAATAAACACATACTATAGTTAAGATAAGCTTTATTTGTCCCCCACTGGGTAAAATTGCAAGTTACATGAGCCTCTTAAAGTAAGGCTTCCCCCCACATATCCTCAGCTAGTGGCCTCCGCTCTAATCGATGACACTAGTCATTGCCATGTTTATCTGAACTGATGAAAGTCACACGTGAATTCGACCACTAATTCACAGGTAGTTTTTAGAAATAAAGGATTTGCTCCAAAAGTCCTCAGTGACTTCAGATATCCTGATTTCCTCCAAAAGTAGCCTTGCCCTAATTTATTGTCCCTTGAATAATACATAGACACCCCACTACAAACAGAAAATTCAAATCTTTCATTTGACGTACAGTATAACAAGCGTCGGCCTGAGCTGATACGGTATGACTTTGGATAAATGGCCTAAGACTCACTCGTTTTAGTATGGGGATGTAGCTCAGTGGTAGAGCGCATGCTTCGCATGTATGAGGTCCCGGGTTCAATCCCCGGCATCTCCAGTGACAATTTTTTTAACACCGTGTTTTTTTAACTACTATTTTTGTGATTATGAAAATATCTGCGGAATCAACGAAGCGTCTCATCAAGGTCGCTTTAATTGGCTGAAGGGCGGTTTGTCTCCATTTTGATTGGCTGTCGGAGGATTCACCACAATACACAAATATTTTTGGATTCATTAGAAGCCTATCATCTGCATATTTGTTTCAACTAAACCAGGTCATTATTATTCTTATTTTATTAATCGATGATTTTCTCGCGTGTGTGGGGGAGAGAAGT